TTAGTAGAGACGGGGTTTCACCATGTTGACCAGGATGGTCTCGATCTCTTGACCTCGTGATCCACCCGCCTCAGCCTCCCAAAGTGCTGGGATTACAGGCTTGAGCCACCGCACCCGGCCATCATGATTTCTTACAAGCAGAAGTTCCTGAACAATAATGCGACCAGTAGCTATTTTAATATCTGCAGGAGCTTTTGCCCAGGTTTAAGTGCTCGCCAGTTGCAAACGATGGCAACAAGAGTAATGACAAAGCTACTCATGCGAAGTTTATGACTATCCTGATATAGGTTCCTGTAACCAACAGAAAGCAGGACAGCGATGCAGTGCAGGAAAACAGAGACTGCAAATGTCACAGAATTGTGCAGAAGAGTCATATCCTAGGAGGACTTAACTTTCCAGTTTACACCATACACATTAAAACCTGTGAGAGAATGAAATGATGCCTGGTTTAACCTGAACGGGTAATCAAAAGTAGCTATAATAGTTTCATCAGTTACTGTAGGAGGACAATTCATATGAATTTCTGTTTGCCCTTAAAATCTCCACTGGTGGCAAAAGCGAAGATGGAAGCCATTTACTCTGTGCCCTTGAGGAAGCTGAGTGGCTCCCTGAGTGGTTGAGGTGGATCCAGAAGGTGACATCCTCTAAAGGAAGGAAGGAGAGACAGTCAGGATGGTGGGGGCCTCTCTGCGGTTTTGATGTGTTTCCCTAGCTATTAGCAATGTGGAACATCTTCCAGTGTGTTTTTTGGCCACTTATTTTCTTTGGAGAAATGTCTATTCAAGTCCTTTGCCCACTTTTGAATCAGGTTGATTTTTGAGGTCTAGTTGTAGTTCTTTATACACTGTGGATATTGCTTCCTTATCGGATATGAGATTTGAAAATATTTTCTCCCAGTCTATGGGTTGCTGTTTTTTCCACTCTGTTGATTATATTCTTTGACACACGGCTGCCCATGGAGAAGATTTTAAAGGGCAGGTAGAAGTCAGCCAGTTTGGGCAGCCATGTGGTGAAGAGAAGGCGTTTCAGTAGAAAAAAATAGCCTGTGTGAACACACAGAGGAGAGAACCACAAAATGCAAGTAGTTGGGTCTTGCTAGTACACGTGGGAGGAGGTGGGGACAGCTGAGGCTGGAGGAACCACCTGACAGAGGGTGGTTCTAAGCCCTGGAAGTAGCTGGACTTTGTTCTAAGGTGGCGCTAGTGAAAGCGTGGTCTGAGGACTGTGGTCCAGCATCCCCACTAGGAGTTTGTTAAAAATGCAAATTCTGGGCTGGGCGCGGTGGCTCACACCTGTAATCCCAGCACTCTGGGAGGCTGAGGCGGGCAGATCACCTGAAGTCGGGAGTTCAAGACCAGCCTGACCAACATGGTGAAACCCCGTCTTAAAAAAAAAAAAAAAATGCAAATTCTGGCTGGGCTCCTGGCTCATGCCTGTAATCCCAGCACATGCCTGTAATCTCAGCACGTTGCGGGGCTGAGGCGGGAGGATTGCTTGAGGCTAGGAGTTTGAGACAACCCTGGGCAACATAGTGAAATGCCGTCTCAATAAAAAAGAATAATTAAAAAAATGCAGATTCATGGAGGCCTAGTTTGGGCCTGCTGAATCAGAATCTTTGGGGTGGGGCCGGAGGATCCAGGTTTTCTTTTTGTGTCTTTTCTTTCTTTCTTTCTTTTTTTTTTTTAAGAGACCGTTTCTTGCTCTGTCACCCAGGCTGGAGTGCAGTAGTACGATCTTGGTTCACTGCAACCTCAGCCTCCTGGGTTCAAGTAATTCTCCTGCCTCAGCCTCCTGGGTAGCTGGGATTACAGGTGCGTGCTACCACGCCTGGCTAATTTTTGTATTTTTTTCAGTGTGGTGGGGGGAGGTGTGTCACCATTTTGGTCAAGCTAGTCTCCAACTCCTGACCTCGTGATCCGCACACCTCGGCCTCCCGAATCGCTGGGATTACAGACGTGAGACACCGTGCCCGGCCGGGATCCGGGTTTTAACTAGCCCCTGGGATTATTCTGAGGTTCAGTGAAGTTTACGGGCAGTGAAGAAACCGCAGAGGAGTCGGCTAATGTTTTGGAAACATCCAGAGTGAGAAAGACGGCCCGGGCTGTTTTTCAGGCCGGGCACCCTAGGCTTGGCTGCGCCCCCCTCCTTTTCCAGCCGCCCCGTCCCCATCCGACCCCACCTGATTCTGGCCTCATCCCGACCCCTCGGGGCCCGCCCTGCGCCCAGGTCTCCTCCCCGCGGCGGGGTTCGGGGTCGGGGACGCGCGGCGGCAGCCAGGCCCACGTTCCTCTTACTTCCCGCCTTTGTCCTGGGTTCCTGTGGCCGAGTCTCCGCACCCGCCCCTGGCCGCCCCACGGCCCCGGGGAGTGATGACTCATTTCCTTTCCCCAGCTGACATCATCGTGCCCCCACCGTGGCCTGGCTCGGGCGGCTGCCTGCGCCCTCCCAGGCCCCCTCCCTGCCCCTCTCGGCGCGAGGGCGCAGGCGCGGCCTGGCGCGGCGCTTCTCGGCCATCAGGGAGCGCCGGAGCCCGCCGCGCTCTCCCTGGTCTCCTGGGTCGTCCCTGCCACCGCCCGGGCCGGCGGGGAGGGAGGGACAGAGACTGGCCGCGGCCCCGCTCTCCCGCTGGGGGCCTGGGAGTCAGAGCTCTCACGGTCACAGATGGGGAAACTGAGTCCCGAGCCTTGACCAAGGCAGTACAACCCCCGCTGAGAAGTGGGGGACTGGAATTCAGGACGCTGGGCTCCAGGCCGGTGGTTTCCCACAGACCTGAGGTGTTAATCTACCCGCACCCCATGGTATGTATTTCCAGCACAAAACCTACAGACAGTATTCCCCCGATTTCCATCATTTGTGGGCCCTGAAACGTGGTCGCTCCTGGAACTAGCAGGAGCCAGGGCCTCTTGGGCTCCACCTGGGAAGCACGTGCAGCCTGCAGTTATTGGGCGACGCTGCCCCCCCAACCCCAGCTGACCTGGCTGTGTCGGGAGGTGTCCCTCACCCTCGCATCCACCCAGGCTCCCCAGCACCCACGGCTGGTCCTCAGGACAGGACCCTGTCCCTTCTGCCTTTTCTGTCGGGTTTCAGGGAGGCAGGGCAACTCGCTCAGCCTGGAAATTTCGGATATTTCATAAGACCTAGAGCTACCTAAGAGTGCGTTCCTTTAAGACGCATGGAAGAAGTCAAGCAAGGCCACACTGTGAGCCAGAGCTGAAATCATACCTGTCCTGCCTCAGGCCTGTCACCTCCCACAGGCTGCCCAGATAATGAATACAAAATGCATCACCCAACGTCTGACAACAGTTTAAGCACTCAGTGAATGCTAGTAATTGTCGTTCGAAAGCTAGTTGCCTAACTTCTCAGGGCTTCAAGCTTCCTAATCTGTAAAATGGGCGCAGTAGTAGAATACATTATTGTGAGGATTCAATGAACTTATGAATGTAAGGTACTGACTGCAGTGGTGTCCAGGGAGCATGCAACAGTCCACCAGCACTTGGGCTCCACGAAAGCAGGGGAGTTCTGTTGTTCTCTGTTTTTTGTTTTGTTTTGTTTTATTTAGACAGGGTCTTACTCTGTCGCCCAGTCTGGAGTGCAGTGGTGCAATCATGGCTCACTGCAGCCTTGATCTCCCTGGGCTCAAGAGAGCCTCCCATCTCAGCCTCCCAAGTAGCTGGCGCTACAGGCGTGTGCTATCATACCTGGCTAATTTTTATATTTTTTGTAGAGATGGAGTTTCACCATGTTGAAACCTGACCAGACATGTCAGGCTGGTCTCAAACTCCTGGTCTCAAGTCATCCACTCACTTTGGCCTCCCAAAGCGTTGGGATTACAGGAGTGAGCCACCGTGCCTGGGCTCTGTTGTCTGTTTCTTCAATTGACAAATAAAATCTTATATATTTATGATATGCAACATGACACTTTGATATATGTATATACTATGTGTGTCATTGGAATGGCTAAGTCAAATTAATTAACATATGCATTACTCTGCATATGTGTGCGTGCATGCCTGCGTGTGTGTTGTTGTCTTTGTATACTGTTAGATCTTTAGCATCTACAACAGTATCTGGCACAAAGTAACCCAGTAGGTGGAAGGAAGGGAGGGAGGGAGGGAGAGAGGGAGGTGAACCTGTTATTAGTGCCTCAGCTGATTTTCCTCTAAAACTTAGGCCTGGCAGAGGAGCCCTGGTAGACTACAGGGGAAGATGCCCGAGGGTCTGTTTGCACCAGGGCTAGAGGGCTTCTTGGGAAGCAGCCATCCTGAGGAAAGAGAGTTGAAGAGCATAACAGCGTTTCAAGGACAGGGCGAGGACAAAAGAGAGATTCAGGGTAGAGCCTCCTCAGTGTTCACAGGAGCACTGTGGAAAGCAGTGGATGATTTCAGGAACATTCCAGAACAACATCATCACAGTCCATCAGTGGTAGCTTCAGGACAACCTGGTGGCCTCACACCTGCTTGGGACACTGATAATTTGGTTGCTTTGGTTATTGGTTATGTTTTTATTTCGAAAATTTTATTTACTTATTTATTTTTTTGAGACAGAGTCTTGCTCTGTTGCCCAGGCTGGAGTGCAGTGGTGTGGTCTTGGGTCACTGCAACCTCTGCCTCCTGGGTTCAACTGATTCTCCTGCCTCAGGACCCCGACTAATTAGGATTACAGGGGCCTGCCACCACGGCCAGCTGATTTTGTATTTTTAGTAGAGACAGGGTTTCACTATGTTAGCCAGGTTGATCCCAAACTCCTGGCCTCAAGTGATCCACCTGCCTCGGCCTCCCAAAGTGCTGGGATTACAGGCATGAGCCATCACACCTGGCCAGATTTTGGTTTTGTTTTTAAATTGGCATTTGCTGTGAGTGGTTCTGTCCTGGGAAGCATCCCTCTGAAGGCTGTGAGACACGTGCTGGGCATTCCTGGGGAAGGTCTGCAGGAACTGCTGGGACAGAGCCATAAAAGCCAGTTACTGTGAGGTGGGGTCTCCCTATGTTGCCCAGGCTGGTCTTAAACTCCAGGCCTCAAGCCATCCTCCTGCCTCAGCCTCCCACAGTGCTGGGATGGCCTCCTGTGGTTCCTCACCATGCCCTGCCCACTCCACCTTAGCACCGTTGCTGTTCCCTCCATCTAGAATCTCAGAATCATCCAAGACTTCCTCACTTTTTCAGGCTTTATCTCAAATGTCACCTACCCAGTGGGGCCCTCCCCACCCCACCCTATTGAACTCAGAAAGCCTCACACCTCCTGACCGCCTGTCTGCCTTCTTTGACTTATTTCCTCGTCCACAGACCCCACCACTCCCTATTGCCTCACAACCAGCCAGATTCACATATTTGCTGTATATCTGGACCCCTGAGCAGGCTGCCTTTGCATTTCATAAGCGAGACTTGGAGAAGGTGACTCCTGGAGAAATCTCTTTAGCCTCCTGCTACCAGGATGGTTTTGGATTCCTCTCCAGCCAGCAGCTGGAACATAGTGGCCTGTGTCATCTAAAACCATGAGATCATCCCAGGTACCTTCTCTTTGCTTCTTGACTTGCCCCCTATTCTTCATACTCACCTCCTGAATAATGTCCACATAGCTATAAGATGAGGGGAGGGAGCCAGCTGGCTATTCCCTCTGCCAGGAGCATCCTCCCTTTGCTGATCAGTACCTGCTTAAGGCCCCAACCCTGCATCACCTCCTCTGAGAAGCCTTCCCTGACTACTCCCCTGCCCTGCCCTGCCAGCCTGATCTGACCACGTTGTTCCCAGGATGGATGCCTGTCAGGGCCCCCTTTTCTCTAGGTTGGACTGATTTGCTCTGGGTTGGCTTCCCCCGCCTGATCATGGGCTTCATGAGGGCAGGGGCTGTGAGTTACTTCTCTTTAAGTACCCAGGGCTTGGCTGATGTCACGCTCAATTAATGAATTCTGAAAGTGTAGATGAAAGAATGAATTGGCTGGGCATGGTGGCTCACGTCTGTAATCCCAGCACTTTCGGAGGTTGAGCCCAAGAGTTCAAGACCAGCCTGGACAACATGATGAAACCCCATCTCTACAAAAAATATACAGATTAGTGGGGCATGGTGCTGTGTGCTTATAGTCCTGGCTACTCGGGAGGCTGAGGTGGGAGGATCAGTTGAGTTCAGGAGGCTGAGACTTCTGTGAGCAGACACTATACCACTGCACTCCAGCCTGGGTGATAGAGTGAGACCCCATCTCAAAGCACAAAACAAAAACAAAAAGAATAAATGAATAAAAGGAGGAAGGATGGAAAGAGGGGAGGAAGGATGGAGAGAGGGAAGGAAGGAAGAGACTCATTAATTAATTTGTTCCTCGCCTTCCACGCATTTGCCTGGCAGCGTCCTGTCACTTTAAGCGCCACCCTCAAGGCTGGGAGAGTGTCAACCCCCATAGAAGAGGAACCCTGGGCTCTGGCAGCCCTGCAGAGACTCATCTCCATCCCGCCCTTGAGCATAGTGTTACACCCAGTTTCTGCTAGTTCTGTTTTTTTTCGTTGCAAATTTTATGATTCAATATATGTGCCCCCAAAATAATCAAAATCAGAAGTTGACAGTTTGATGAATTTTCATTGTGAGCACATCCACATAAGCAGCACCCAAATTAAGAAAGAGAATGCAAACAGCTCCCGCCCTGTGCTGCCTTCAGGCACTGTGCTCCCCAAGGCTGACCCTTCTTCTTACCCTAGCAGGATTAATTTTCCTGCTTTGTATTTTATTTTATATTACATTTTATTATTTTATTTTATTTTGAGACAGAGTCTTGCACTATTGCCCAGGCTGGAGTGCAGTATCTTGGCTCACTGCAACCTCTGCCTCCTAGGTCTAAGTGATTCTCCTGCCTTGGCCTCCGGAGGGGCTAGGACTAACAGGCATATGCCACCATGCCTGGCTAATTTTTGTATTTTTAGTAGAGATGGGGTTTCACCATGGTGGCCAGTCTGGTCTTGAACTCCTAGCCTCAAGTGATCCACTTACCTTGGCCTCCCAAAGTGCCCAGCCTATTTTATTTTATATTTTGAGACAGCGTCTTGCTCCGTCACCCAGGCTAGAGGGCAGTGATATAATCATAGCTCACTGCAGCTTCGATCTCCTGGGCTCAAGCGATCCTCCCAGCTCAGACTACAGCCATGTGCCATCACGCCTGGCTGATTTTTTTGTCTTTTTGCAGAGACGGAGTCTGATTGTTTCCCAGGATGATCTTGAACTCTTGGGCTCAAGCAGTCCACCTGACTTGGCCTCCCAAAGTGCTGGGATTACAGGTATGAGCCATCGTGCCTGGCTGTATTTNATAAATATAACGATACAATATATATTCTTTTGGGTCTAGCTTCTTCTGGTTAATGCTATGTGTGTGAGATTTATTCATATTGTGGTTTATTCATTCTCATTGCTCTATAATATATTCCATGGCATAAGGAAGCCACATTTTATTTATTCATTCTCCTGTTGATGGACATTTAAGTCATTTCCAGTTGTTGGCTATGAAGCATATTGCTTTTGTGACCCTTCTCGTACCTCTCTTGGAGGACATATGTGTGTCTTCGTGCTGGGTATGTACCTAGGTGTGGACTGCTGGGTCAGAGGCAAGGTACATGCTCAACTTAGCAGAAAGTTGCCATTTTCCAAAGTGGTTGGAAGGATTTCCACTTCCACCGGCTGTGTATGAGAGTTCCGGTTGCGTGTCGTGCTCAGCAGTACTCGGCCCTACCTGTTTTTTGTTTTATTTTTTGTGTTTGGTTTTATTGGCCAGCTATTCTGGTGGGTAGATTTTTCCATTTTTGACCACATGCCCCTTCCCCCTGGCAGTCAGCTCCAGCTCTCTCTGTTTCTGATACATTCTGGAAAACCAACTTCTCTGCTTCTTGATTCTTGTCCTATAGTTCTTTTTGTTTTTAGAGATGGGGCCTCACTCTGTTGCCCAGGCTGGAGTGCAGTGGCTTGATCATAGCTCACTTCAGCCTCAACCTCCCATGCTCAAGTGATCCTCTTGCTTCAGCATTCTGTGTAGCTGGGACCACAGGCACGCGCCACTGGAGAATTTATTTTTATGTTGTTAGAGATGAGGTCTTGCTGTGTTGCCCAGGCTGGTCTCAAACTCCCAGGCTCAAGTGATCCTCCAGCCTCAGCCTTCTGAGTACCTGGGATTACGGGCATGAACCACCATGCCCAGTGCCCTGCAGTCTTGCTCTAGGGTTTGTCTCCCTTGCTGCAGACCTGAGACAGGTCTCTCAGCTGTGCTCAAGAATTCCCTTCCATGAGGCGCATTCCGGCCTCAGATGGCAGCTCCTATAGGACATGGATGGGGAGGAGGAGGAGGGCATCAGGAGATGTCTCCAAAGCCTGCGCAGGCTCTTCCTGTGACCATGTCTCACTCATTTAGCCACTTTGTGGGTCCTCATCTTACTATTCTCAAAACACTGGGTAAGCATAAAGAACAACTGAATATAAGTGCTAAAACTATTAAACTCTTAGACGAAAATAGAGAAGAAAATCTTCACTACCTTAGGTTTGGAAATCCTTTCTTCGCTATGACATCCAGAGCATACGCAACCAAAGAAACATTTGATATATTGGAGTTCATCAAAATTAAAAACTTTCATGCTTCAAAGGACACTGTGAAAAGAGTGACAAGACAAACCCAGAATGGGATAAAATATTTGCACATCATAAATCTGATAAGAGACTTGTATTTATAATACAGAAAGAGCACTTGGAACTTAGTGTAAAAGTAATTGCGGTTTTGCCATTAAAAGTTTGCCATTACTTTTTACGGCAAAACCACAATTGCTTTAGCACTAACCTAATAATGTGATTGAAGCCACCAGACGCCGGAAGAGGAGTGTGGCCCTGCTGACACTTTGGTTTCAGGCTTGTAGCCTCCAGACCTGTGGGAGAATAAATGTCTTTTGTTTCAAGTCACCAAGTTTGTAGCAATGGCAGCCCTAGGAAATGAATACGGGAAATTATACTGACTTAGCAAAACTTTTGAAAGCCTGCTTCCGTGTGTGTGTGTGTGTGTGTGTGTGTGTGTGTGTGTGTCTGTCCTTGCATGTGGGGCAGCTGCCGCCTCCCCCTTGCTCCCTGCTTCCACCATTCAAATAACCTCATTTACCGTTCAGCAATTTCCACAGAACCCCAGTCTTCCAGGCGTTGCGGCTTACACCTATAATCCCAGCACATTGGGAGGCCAAGGCAGGAGGATGGTTTGAGCCCAGGAGTTTGAGGCCAGCCTACGCAACATTGTGAGGCTGTCTTTACAAAGTATTTCAAAAATTAGCTGGGCATGGTGATGCATGCCTGTAGTCCCAGCTACTTGGTAGGAGGATCACTTGGGCCAAGGAGTTGAAGGCTGCAATGAGCTGTGATTGTGCCACTGCACTCCAGCCTGGGTGACAGAGACAGGCCCCATCTCTTAAAAAAAAGAAAAAGAAAAAGAAACCAAGCCAGGGTCCCAGCGTTTCTCCCGCCCACCACCCACTATAGTCCAAGGGTTGGGTAGGCTGATGCAGCGTTCTTTAGCCACGGAAAGAGGAGGAGAACAGGAGTGCCCATCCTCGCTCTTTCCTGTGGAAATCTTTCTCAGAGCATGGCTGCACAGTCTCCCCAACTGCCCTTGGCTCTTCTCTCTCCCTCTTTCCCAACATCCACACCGTCACTGTTCTGCCTTCCAGACAACCCTGGAATCAGCCCACCTGCCTCCATCCTGCTGCCTCTCCTTGGGCTCCGGCCACGCCCCTGCTGTGCTGCCCCATCTTCCTTCACTCTTCAGTGCAGCAGCTCTCCAGCAGTGTGAGTCTGAGCTGCACCCCTGCCACGCCCCTTCCGCACCTCCCTTCACTCTGAGGCTGAAGTCCCGGCTCACAATGGGTCCCCCCTGCATCCTGCCAGCCTCATCAGTGCACACCGCCTGGGCGTCTCCCCTCAAACCACACTGACCTCCGTTCCTCAAGCTTCTCCTTGCCTTTGCACGGGCTGTTTTCTCTTCCTCCAGCACGCTCCCACGCATCCCCATCACCCAGTGAACTCTTCCTCTGCCCTAGTCCCCAGCAGACACTTTCTCGGAGAAGCCTGACCTGACCCTCTAAGTCAGGGTTAGCTGATCTTGCTCTGTCCCCTTGGCTGGGATCATCTCTAGGGCAACTTCATCACCCACTGCTTCACAATTGTTGGGACCTCACGAGGGCAATTTCCACGTGTTGTTCTTGTTATTCACTGGACTCTTGACTGCCCCACCTTGAAACATACAAGGCAATCCATAGATATTGTGAACTTCATTATTATTATTATTATTTTTTTTAGGCAGGGTCTCATTTTGTTGCCCAGGCTGGAGTGCAGTGGCGAGAACATGACTACTCACTGCTGCCTCAATCTCCCGGGCTCAATTGATCCTCCTACCTCAGCTTACCAAGTGCCTGGGACCACAGGCTTGTGCTATCATGCCCAGCTAATTTTTGTATTTTTTTGTAGAGACGGGGTTTTGCCATGTTGCTCAGGCTTGAACTCCTGAGCTGAAGTGATCTGCCTGCCTCAGCCTCCCAAAGTGTTGGGATTACAGGCATGAGCCACTGCTCCTGGCTCTATTATTTAATTAATGAGGGAAGCTATAGTGGGATTATTGACTCATTGTCCAAATTTTAGCAGAAAGGCAATAAGCAACAAGAACAGATGAGAAGATTAATTTTGCTGGAATATAATATTAACTACATTTATTAAGAAACTTAAAAGCTTTGGGAGCATTTAAACATGATATTTATTCCACAAACATTTGAGTATCTACAATGGGTCAGTGACAAGCAACACCCACCCATGTGAATCAGACAGTGCCTGTCCTCAAAAAGCTCATAGTCTGATGATCTCATTCTGTTGAATCCTACAGTGACCCACCAAAGTGAGTATTATTGATTTGTATTGATTAGGACATTTTTGTTCCAAGTGACACAGGACCCCTCAAACTGGCTTGAACGAAAAAGGGAATGGATTGGTTTATGTAACTGAAACGTTGAGGGCTGTGTCTGGCTTAGTGTGGGGGGCTTCTGGATTTGGCAGTGTCTCCCAGACCAGACCGCCCTGTTTCCTGGCTCTTTCCTCCCTGAGTTGGTACCATGTTGTCACCCTGACAGCCCTGGGTTCTCTTCTCATGGTGGCCAAGTGGCTGTCGGTTTATATCCCCAGAGCCCCAAGGCAGTGGGAAAGTGAAAACTTCTTTTCCAGCAGCTCCTGCAGGACCACAGCCATCCACCCTGATGAGTAGCTCAGGTCCCTCGTCTGTCCCTGAGCGAATTGCTGTAGCCAGAAGATATCAATGTCCCCAGCGGTTTGAGGATCGCACCACAGGCTTCATGTCCTGACTGAGGTGTGGGCCCTGCCTGAGAACCGGGGAGGGGGCGGAAGCCAAAGTGAAAACCAAGGGGCATTGCTGTGAGGTGGGGAGTGCAGGCCAGGGAGGTAGAGGACAAATGTTGACCACTCTCCCTTCTTTAGAAGCAGGGACAAGGCCAGGCATGGTGGCTCATGCCTGTAATCCCAGCACTTTGGGAGGCTGAGGCAGGCAGATCACGAGGTCAAGAGATCGAGACCATTCTGGCCCAAATGGTGAAACTCTGTCTGTACTAAAAATACAAAAATTAGCCAGGTGTAGTGGCATGTGCCTGTAATCCCAGCTACTCGGGAGGCTGAGGCAGGAGAATTGCTTGAGCCCAGGAGGCGGAAGTTGCAATGAGCTGAGATCGCGCCACTGCACTCCAGCCTGGTGACAGGGTAAGACTCCATCTCAAAAAAAAGAGCAGGGACATGAGGCACAGAGAGAGGGAGAGTAACAACCTTAAGCCAAGCTGCTGGTGCGTGGCAGAGCTAAGACTCGAACCCCGCCCTGCTGACTTCAAGTAGTGCTTTCCACACAGCTGCTCTGCCCAGGAAAAGGCCTCAGACACAAGAAGGATCCTGGAGTCCCTACTCAGAGACCTTCCTTTTACTTGTTATTTTAAAATTTTATTTATTTGTTTTTTGAGACAGTCTCTGTCACTCATGCTGGAGTGCGGTGGTGCAATCTCAGCTCACTGCAACCTCCGCCTCCTAGGTCCAAGCGATTCTCTTGCTTCAGCCTCCTGAGTAGCTGAGATTTCAGGTATCCACCGCTATGGCTGGCTAATTCTTATATTTTTAGTAGAGATGGGGTTTCCCCATGTTGGCCAGGCTGGTCT